GAGAGAGAGAGAGAGAGAGAGAGAGAGAGAGAGAGAGAGAGAGAGAGAGAGAGAGAGAGAGAGAGAGAGAGAGAGAGGGAGAGAGAGAGAGGGAGGGAGCACAGCACAACAATAAAACAAGAGCACAGCACAACAATAAAACAAGTTTAGTAAAAAAAGAAGAATTGCAGAGTTGCTAGCTGATTTTGCTTGTGTGTCCAGTGTGTCTGTTTTGAATGATGTCTTTGCCCTTGTCCTCTCCTTGGTCTGGACGCAAGCACAGAGATGGGGGTGCCAACTGAATTATTGCAACACTGAGACCCATGTTGACCATCCCGGTAGAGCCTCTGAAAGAAGGGGATGATCCTACTCCCTACACGCCTCGATGAACGAGAGCAGTGTGTAGCCAAGGATATACAAAGTGGATACAAAGCAGTGTATACACATTTGCTAGAGTTTCTCCAGGCCTAGATGACCAAGAGGAGATTACCAAAAGCCGTTGCAAAGCGGCTAGAAAAGTAGTGTATCGGCATTTGTTAGGGTTTTTCCTTGGGCCTAGGTGAACAAGCAATGGTTAATCAAGGTGGTTTGCAAAGTGGTTGGAAAAGAAAAAAAGAAAAAAAAAAGGCAGTGTGTAGTATGTAGGCCTTTGGTAGAGGGGTTTCCCTATATGCCTAGATGAACAAGCAGGAGTTATCCAAGGGTTTGCAAAGCGAAGAAAAAGGCAGTCTATACTGACTCTATACGAGTCTATAGGCATTTGCTAGGGTTTTCTTTAGGCGTACGTGAAGTCAAAAAGGCAGTCTATACTGACTCTATAGGCATTTGCTAGAGTTTCTTTAGGCGTACGTGAAGCCAAGGGTTTGTGACAGCGGATAAAAAAAGGCAGTCTATACTGACTCTATAGGCATTTGCTAGGGTTTCTTTAGGCGTACGTGAAGCCAAGGGTTTGTGACAGCGGATAAAAAAAGGCAGTCTATACTGACTCTATANGACTCTATAGGCATTTGCTAGGGTTTCTTTAGGCGTACGTGAAGCCAAGGGTTTGTGACAGCGGATAAAAAAAGGCAGTCTATACTGACTCTATACTGAGTCTATAGGCATTTGCTAGGGTTTTCTTTAGGCGTACGTGAAGTCGAGGGTTTGGAAAGCGGATAAAAAAAGGCAGTCTATACTGACTCTATAGGCATTTGCTAGGGTTTCCTTAGGCGTAGGCGAACAACCAGAGGTTAGCTAAGGGTTTGCAGAGCGGATAGAAAGGCAGTCTATAGGCATTTCTGCTAGGGTTTCCCTAGCCCTACCTTCTTCACCCGAATACAACGTACGGTCATTATAGCTGTATTTGGGGTATCTTTCAGTCTAGATACAGCGATAATGACCGTACGTTGTATTCGGGGGAAGAAGGTAGCCCTAGGTGAACAACCAGGGGTTAGCCAAAGGTTTTGCGCAGCGGATAGAAAGCAGTGTACAAAGGCTATAACACAATACTAAGCCTTTACGGGGTTTCGCTAGGCCTAGATGCGCGAGGGGAGGAGTTAACCAAGGGCTTGCAAAGCGGATAGAAAGCCGTGTGTATAGGGCAACTCCGCTGACGAGACCCTGGGATTCAGACGCGAAGCGTCTGCTCTACGAGTCTTTGCCAAGGTGGAGAGCAGATTCAGACGCGAAGCGTCTGCTCTTCGAGCCTTTCTGCCAGGGTGTCGATATTCGAACGAGGGGTAATTACTAAGCCCTTCTCCCTGATCCGCTCCCTTTGTCCCTCCCTTTTTTTTTCCTTTTTTCGACAGGGTTTTCGGCCCTGGCTCCTTTTCCAGTCTGAGGAGCATCTCTCTGGTTGCTGTCCACCACATCTCATCGAGTCGGGGACCTAGACTACAATCGTCTTCTCCTGAACAGAAGACAAGGTCATGGTACATGTATCCAGACCGAAAGTCGGCCCCAATGCAGATATAAAACAACCCCACATCCTATCAGAGAGGGAAAGATGGGACTGTTTCTACATGCCTCCGTACCAGGCCCAAGACATCACAAATCGACGACTCCTGGGAATGTGATGTTCCTCCCACACCCAACACTGTCGGCTTCCTCCAAATAGAACCTACGCCGGTCCTACAGTCATTATAGCTGTATTTGGTGCAACTTCAAGTCCGGATACAGCGATAATGACCATACAGCATGGTAGCACAATGTTGCCCCTCCCTCTTACCTCCCTTTTCCCTGCCATTTACCTTCCCTGTGTTGGCGGCTGATGCACCTGCCCTGGGCCCAAATAAAACGTACGTCGTACGGTGATTATAGCTGTAGTTGGTACAGCATCCAGCCCAAATACAGCGATAAACACCCTACGTTCTATTCGGGGGGGAAGAAGGTTTCTGTTTGTTCTTCAAAAAAAAAAAAAAAAAAAAAAAAAAAAAAAAAGCAGTTCCCCTCCTGTGCACTAGTAGGGTCCCTGTGTGGTATGGAATGGAGGAGCCCCTGTACTGCATAGATGTTGTGGAATTCTGTCATGCTAGATATGTGGGTCGATAGCGCGGGGTACCACGGTTGCTAGGGTGCGGTAGAAAAAAATATCAAGAGAAGAAAATAGCCTAGTTAGAATTTAGAAATACAACTGTCCTCCATATATGAGGCAAAGACAGCATAAAAAATAATAATAATAATAATAATAATAAATAAATAAAAAAAGAGAGAGACCGGAAAAACTGAAGGTGGCTGTGCTGAGAAGGAAAACGAGGACAAGGAGATAATAGCAGATGGAAAATGGGGCAAAAAGAAAATGGCAGACGAAAAGGAAAAAACACACCACGTACCGACAAGGAAAGAATGCTTCTTCTGCCGAAGTGCAATTTGGCGTAGCATCAGCTTCTCCTTCTTAGTCAGCTCTCTTGCGCGATAGACCGCGGGTTGTTCAGGCTCTGACGTCTTCAACATCCGCCGCACTCGCGTACGGGTCTTCTCTGATGCAAGTATTCTACGAGGATAGATCAGGCGACTCTCCGGTTCTCCATCCTCGTCATCATCATCATCGTCGTCATCATCTTCATCTTGACTGTCAATCGCTCGTTCCCCAAGTCTCAGCAACTCGCCTTCTTCTCCCTCTGGACCCCAAGAACTCTCCCCATCTCGATCCCCATCTGCAGCAGCATCGGCAGCACCTCTCTCTCTCTCTTCTTTGCCCGCGGCTGCTTTCTTGGCTCCAAGCTCCTTTGCCTGCATCCGATCCAGTTATTAATTCCACGTTCCAAACTGATTCATCTAATGATAGCCATCAAAAGAAAGAAAGAAAGAAAGGAAAAAAAAAAGAAAAAAAAAAAAAGAGATTGCCTGTGAGAAATTCCTAGAGAGACAGGAAGAAGGAAGAAAAAATATGTGCTTTGATTGCCGTTTTTAAACTAAAAAAAACAGGCTACCAGGATGGCACGGGACCAATTGCCCGGCAGGGCCAAAAAATATTTTAAAAACTAATAAAATTAATAAATTAATAAAATAATAAAAATATATATATTCCATCTGGTGTGGGTGAGTGATAGTCTGCTTGGATTTTTGTCACAGGTACCTTTGAGGGCAGTTACCTTGAGGGCAGTGGTTGGTGGTCCCCACCACCTCAGGGTATCAGTTGTCGGGCAGTCATTGATGCTTAACCACAGCCGGGGTAAAGGTGGATTATCACTTACTGTGTAATCAGTTAGGAGGGATTCTCCAGACTGTCGAGGGTTCAGCCTCTATTGATTGATGAGTCAGTCGGTGAAACTCCGACGAAACAGTTTGTCACAGCCCCTCGTTTGTTGTCCTCTTCTCCATCTCACTCTCTGCCTACGGTTTACAGGGCAGCTCTGTTTGACATAAGACGGTAAACCGTAGGCAGAGAGGGAGAAGAGGAGAAGATACTGTCAGGTCAGATACTGTCCTATCATCTCCTATGCCATTTACATAAGACTGTAAATGCACTTAACTATTTACTGGATTATTAATTATAAGAATGTTGAAATAATAAACCACTTATGATAAGACTGTTATTATAAGAGCTGGCAGGTCACATTTCGCTCGCGCCAGTGTGCGGTAGAAGTACCGTAGAACCTTTCCGGCAAATCAAACTGAGGCAATAATATGATAGCTCACTTGGTGCACCGATGAACAACTGCTGAAATATGAATCAGACCCGAGTTTGAATCCAGATGCAACCATATGAACGGAATAAACTAATCTAGTAATAAATTACTGGGGCAGGTCAGATCAATTATGATATCTCAAGGCTGTCGCCCTTTCAGGAAGGGAGGGGGAGGGGGGGGAACAATTACAACGATGCATAAGGCAACCAGCATCAGTAAGGTATGAGGAAAGCCACACACACACACACACACCGAGAGAGAGAGAGAGAGAGAGAGAGAGAGAGAGAGAGAGAGAGAGAGAGAGAGACGCAGAGAGATGAGGGGCTTTGAATGAAAAGTGGGGACCACTTACTCTTTTTGCTCTCAATTGAGACAATCTTCTCTCTAGCATCAGTATATTCATTTCCACGGACTGCAGTACACACATCACAGAACAATGGAAAGAAGAATCAGGCAGCAAGAACCATAAACCCGAAAAATGGCAACATGGCGACAGACAAGACGGCATCCCATCAGTCCACAGACTAAAGACACAGGCATCGAGTTTAAAGTTGAACCTCCATGCCGAAGCACAGACAGGACGGCGAGATACATTGCAGTTATTATCTCAAAAAAGAAGAAAAACTGGCGCCATTCTTGTCTGCGACTCTGCGCATATTTTTCCTTCTGCATCTACTTTGAGCATTTTCCGCACTACTCGTCAAGCAAAGCAATCACCTTTATGTCCTTCGGGACGTCCGTTAAAATTGGAACGGTACAGAGAAGATTAGCATGGCCCCTGCGCAAGGATGACACGCATAAATCGAGAATGGTCCAAA